AGTCTATAGTCTAGTCTATAGTCTAGTCTATAGTCCTAGTCTATAGTCTAGTCTATAGTCTAGTCTATAGTCTAGTCTATAGTCTAGTCTATAGTCTAGTCTATAGTCTAGTCTATAGTCTAGTCTATAGTCTAGTCTATAGTCTAGTCTATAGTCTAGTCTATAGTCTAGTCTATAGTCTAGTCTATAGTCTAGTCTATAGTCTAGTCTATAGTCTAGTCTAGTCTATAGTCTAGTCTATAGTCTAGTCTATAGTCTAGTCTATAGTTTAGTCTATAGTCTAGTCTATAGTCTAATCTATAGTCTAGTCTATAGTCTAGTTTAAAGTCTAATCTATAGTCTAGTATAGTCTAGTCTAGTCTATAGTCTAGTCTAGTCTATAGTCTAGTCTATAGTCTAGTCTAGTCTATAGTCTAGTCTATAGTCTAGTCTATAGTCTAGTCTATAGTCTAGTCTATAGTCTAGTCTATAGTCTAGTCTATAGTCTAGTCTATAGTCTAGTCTATAGTCTAGTCTATAGTCTAGTCTATAGTCTAGTCTATAGTCTAGTCTATAGTCTAGTCTATAGTCTAGTCTATAGTCTAGTCTATAGTCTAGTCTATAGTCTAGTCTATAGTCTAGTCTATAGTCTAGTCTATAGTCTAGTCTATAGTCTAGTCTATAGTCTAGTCTATAGTCTAGTCTATAGTCTAGTCTATAGTCTAGTCTATAGTCTAGTCTATAGTCTAGTCTTTAGTCTAGTCTATAGTCTAGTCTATAGTCTAGTCTATAGTCTAGTCTATAGTCTAGTCTATAGTCTAGTCTATAGTCTAGTCTATAGTCTAGTCTATAGTCTAGTCTATAGTCTAGTCTATAGTCTAGTCTATAGTCTAGTCTATAGTCTAGTCTATAGTCTAGTCTATAGTCTAGTCTATAGTCTAGTCTATAGTCTAGTCTATAGTCTAGTCTATAGTCTAGTCTATAGTCTAGTCTATAGTCTAGTCTATAGTCTAGTCTATAGTCTAGTCTATAGTCTAGTCTATAGTCTAGTCTATAGTCTAGTCTATAGTCTAGTCTATAGTCTAGTCTATAGTCTAGTCTATAGTCTAGTCTATAGTCTAGTCTATGGTCTAGTCTATGGTCTAGTCTTTGGTATGTTCTATAGTCTATTCTTTAGACTAGTTTGGTCTATATTCAATAGCTGCGTTATGTTTTTTCTTAAACTGTATTTTAACAAATTAGTCTAAATCCATTAAAGGTAACAAATTTCAAGAAACTAAACACAGATTGTTGTTCCCAAATATGATAACTAATTTTCAGTTTATACATACATAATATAAAATATAATTTTCTTTAAAAAAAATTCCCCATTAAATACCATTAGTAGTGTTTAACCGAGTTTATAAGCTCCTCATAAGGTCTTTGAAACAATATAAAGTATAAAGACTATTTAACTATAATATTATTGTCCCCCCTATTTTGCCAACAATAACTAACTATAGGTATTTATTTTATTTATAGATAAACATCTTTTTTTTACTACATTTTCAAGTGTCACTTTGATAAATAAAAATAAACTTTTATTTTTGTGTTTAATAGTATCTATTGTTTTCATTTGATAAATTATAGCAATTTTATGCTAATTTTGCATTAACTATTTAGTCTTGCTTCATTAACTAAAATGTCTATGGCAAATGTTTGTGACGAAGACTACAAACAAAATATTAAAATTTTTGTTTATGGCGACGCAATATCTGCATATCTTGGCGCATTTTTTTTCATCAATGTATTTGTTGGCATTACTTACTTACTGGTTTAGTATTTGTATGAATTCTGCAGTTTTTTTTTGTTCATTTTGATTTAAAACTCATCACATTAGTATCTTTTGAGGCAATGACACTTTTAAGGCGTGTTAGAAATACAAGTATTTCTACAAATTGCGAAAAATTTGGAAAAAAAAAGAAGAAAAAAATCTATTAGTGGTAGTGGGGACATTAGGAAGTTTCATAATTTATATCTTGTTCCTAAAAATTTAATTGACTTAATGAAGCAATAATTATTATTGACACTTAAATAGATATATACATGTACTTACAAATTTGTAGGAAGAAAATAATTTAATTATTTAGGAAGAGATTAGGAAATAGAGCACTATTTAAATAAGAAAGTTAAGTAGTAAATAGCAGGTAGCAAACCAAGCTAATAACTAATAAATCTGATATATTATGTGTTTTTATATAAAATAGTTTTAACACTTAGTCTCTGAGGATCACAGGAAATCGTAAAAAGAAATTTAATTAATAATTAAGTTGTTTACATTAATTAAAGGAAGTATTTATTGGAAAAAATAGATTTTTAGTAAAAACTATAAAAAATAGTTTATTGAAAATGTCAAGGGCCTTGATCCACCGGTTCTATATATGAGTTGAAATATCTTTATACAACGTTCGTAATAGTCGAATCGAGAGTTCATCTCAGATTCTATATTCTGGCTAAATTTGAAACAGAGAAAAGTCTTGAGATATTAAACTTTTCAAATCATCAGAGACAAACAACAGGCGTCACATAGTCTAATTCTAAGAATTTGTCAATATAACTTCTTATTTAATTCTAATTGATATTTGGATTCTTTTTGGTCTTCTTGACTATAGAATGATCTTCAGTTTTGACTACTTATAGACTGATCTATAGTTTTGACAGATTTATAGTCTTGATTTAGATTCATCTATATGCTTGACTATAAACCAATCTATATTTCTGGCTATAGACTGATCTATAGTCTTGATTATAGACAGATTTATACTCTTGAATGTAGACTTTAGATCAGTCTTAACTATATACTTAACTATGGTCTTGACTGAACTATAGTCTTGACTATAGACTGAACTATAGACAGAACTGTAGTAGACTGAACTATAGTCATGACTATAGACTTAACTATAGTCTTGACTATAGACTTAACTATAGTCTTGACTATAGACTGAACTATAGTCTTGACTATAGACTGAACTATAGTCTTGACTATAGACTGAAGTATAGTCTTGACTATAGACTGAACTATAGCCTTGACTATAGACTTAACTATAGTCTTGACTATAGACTGAACTATAGTCTTGACTATAGACAGAAGTGTAGTCTTGATTATAGACTGAACTATAGTCCTGACTATAGACTGAATTATAGTCTTGAATATAGACTGATCTATAGTCTTGACTATAGACTGAACTATAGTCTTGACTATAGTCTTGTGTCAGGACTGACATATAATCTTGACTATAGACTGATATATAGTATTGACTACAGGCTGATCTATAGTCTTGACTATGAACTGATCTATTGAGTTGACTATAGATTAATTTATAGTCTAGACTACAGACTGATCTTTAGTCTTGGCTATAGACTACAGTCTTCCTATTTAATCCTAATTGATTTTGATCTTCTTGACTATAGATTGATCTACAGTTTTGACTACTTATAGACTGATTCATAGATAGATAGATTCATCTAGAGGCTATAAACCGATCTATATTTCTGACTATAGACTGATCTATAGTCTTGACTTTAGACTGAACTATAGTCTTGACTATAGACTGAACAGTAGTCTTGACTATAGACTGATCTATAGTCTTGACTATAGACTAAACTATAGAATTGACTATAGACTGAAATATAGTCTTGAATCTAGACTGAACTATATTCTTGACTATAGACTGAACTATAGTCTTGACTATAGACTGAACTATAGTCTTGACTATGGACTGAACTATAGTCTTGACTATGGACTGAACTATAGTCTTGACTATGGACTGAGCTATAGTCTTGACTAATGACTATTGACTATTGATCTATAGTCTAGACTGATCACTATAGACTGATCTGTGGTCTTGACTATAGACTGAAACATAGTGTTGAATTTTCTTGACCATAGACTGATCTATAATCATGACTGTAGACTGATCTGTAGTCCTGACTATAGACTGATCTATAGTCTTAACTATAGGCTATGTATTCTGCAGTTTTTTTGTTCATTTTGATTTTGAACTCATCACTTAAGTATCTTTAAATGTTAGTCTCATACATATCTTGACTATAAACCGATCTATATTGTTGACTATAGACAGATCTATAGTCTTGAATATAGACTGAACTATAGTCTTCACTATAGACTGAACTATAGTCTTCACTATAGACTGAACTATAGTCTTGACTATTGTCTGATATGTAGTCTTGTTTAAAGACTGGCCTATAGTCTTGACTATAGACTGATCTATAATATTGACTACAGGCTGATCTATTGTCTTGACTATAGACTGATCTATAGCATTGACCATAATTTGGTCTATAGTCTAGACTATAGACTGATCTATAGTCTAGACTGATCTATAGTTTTGACTGATCTATAATCTTGACTGTAGACTGATCTTAACTATAGGCTAATTTATAGTCTTGACTATAGACTGATCTATAGTAAGTAATATAGACTTATCAACAATCGACTAAGTCTATATATTGATATGTAGTGTTGACTATAAACTGATCTATAGTCGTGACTAAAGACTGATTTATGTATATATATGAAGACTGATCTATAGTCTTGAATATAGACTTGAATATAGTCTTGATTATAGACACATCTATAGTATTAACTAAAGATTGATCTGTAGACAGATCTTTATTCTTAGGTGTAGAATATTATTTTGTATCGACTGATCTGTAGCTTTGACAAAAGACTAATTAGTAATCTTCATTAAAGACTGATCTTAACTTTCAACTATTGACTGATCAATAGTCTTGATTAAAAACTGATCTATAGAGATTGATCTTCACTTCAAAGTGATCTATACTGGTCTACACGGATGGCCATAGAATGATCTATGGTTTTGCTTTTGGAACAGTAGTTTTCTTTAAAGACCGATCTATAGTATTGACCGTAGGCTGATCTGTACTGTCTGATCTATTAACTGATATTTATCTTAACTAGAGAATTACCCTTTTTAAATAAAAATACCAAGTTTGATTTAGTTTGTAGTTTTTTTCAATCTCAATTTTATGAGATATTTTATTTTATTTTTTTTTCAAACATCCTTCTTTTCTTTATACATTCTTATTTTGATTATGTTGCTTAACAAAATAAAAATTATTTGGTAGAACAGAAGATTCCATATGTTCTAAAGAAAATAATTTTTCCTTTAAAACAAATGAAATTTAATTATAAGCTAAATTAAATTAAACTAAAGAACTAATTGTTAATTTTAATTTTTGTTTCAAATTAACAATTAGTTTAATCTCTTTTTGTGTAAATACATTAACAAGTCTTAAATAATAAATTATTTTATTACGCTTTTTCTCTAACTGGACGAGTTATTAGCACGAGGTTAACTAAAACAAAATCAAATACCTTTTTAAACTCTTTGAAGGAAGAGGAGGAGCTGAAAAGGCATTGGTTGTTAAGGCCTTTTGCAAAGAGAAGAAGGTTTTGGTTTTGTGTGTTATAAGTTAAATAAGCTTTAAACAAGTGTTAGTTTTATAATTTAAAGTTGACATTACTTTTTTTTTCTAGTTTCTTAACTTAAAGTATTATATTTGTTATTTACAATAAGCTGTAGATAGTAATTAGAGTTAAATTACTTAAATTATTTTATAATAATTAAATTTCAGAGAAATTAATTAAAACTTAAAGAATACTATGGGAGTTATGATTTTCGGTTAATATGAAGAAAGTGTTAAAGTTTTGTATGAAAGTTAGTAAGTTTTAACGAAAAGAAGTATTAAGAGTTTTAAACGTAAACCCTAGAAGTTTTGTTAGGATTTTTACTTAAAGTTGTATTAGTTAGTTTGTGTTTAATATCACTTAGTTTTAAACTAATTTTAAATATTTAATCGTTTCAGTTTTAATCACATCATTAATCCTTTAAACGTTAGCTAGATCGCTTGTATATACTTTCATCTTCTTTTCGCCATTCTTACCTATTTTGACACTCTCTCTCTCTTTAAAAATCTCTCTCTCAATACCTATCACATAATCACAAATAATGCTCTCTGAGGTTTCTCTATTACACTGAGACACTCTTATCAGACGGAATTTCATTAGTGATGCTGTAATGGGAGTAGAAAGAAAAAAAAAGAAAAGAATTCATATTAATTATAATTTAAACTTAATGATGAGCATGATAATATAAAGAATGTGAGTAATCATGACTATGATCCACCTCTGATAATTCTTCATGACTTTCAGATTTGTATTCCTCTTGAGATTCATATTCGGCATGTTTATATTCTTCGGATGGTTTATATTCCTCTTCTTCATGTTGATATTCCTCTATCTGTTTATGATCACCGTATTCTTCATGTTTATATTCTCCTTCTTGTTGGTGTGCTATGTGCTCGTGTTCATGTTCGTGCTCGTTATGATCTTCGTGGTAATCTTCGTGTTCATGTTCTTCTTTAAGTTCAACTTTCTTGTAATGGAATTCGGGTTCTTTGTAGGGGAAGTGTTTTTCATGGTATTCGGGTACATGTTTTTCTATATGTACCGGCACAGGTTTATCATAAGGTACCTTAACGGGATAAGGTACATGTTTCTCAATTTTAACTGGCACTTCCTTGACAACTGGATAAGGTGCTGGCACCTTAACCTTGACTTCATAGGGTACTGGTTTCTCAACATGTACAGGCACTGGACGATCATAGGGCACATGTACTGGTACTGGCACTTTCTTGATAACTGGTATAGGCACTGGTTTTTCAACATGATAGGGTACTGGTTTGTCCACATGATAGGGCACTGGCTTATCATAATGCACCTCAACGGGATAATGTTCAATCTTCTCTACAGGATATGGCTTGTCAACGGCTACATGTACGGCAACGGGATAAGGCACTCTCTTTACGACCGGATAAGGAGCAGGTACATGCACTTTAACCGGTACATGTACTTTCTTCTCAACGGGATATGGTGCTGGTACGTGTACTTTAACGGGCACTGGACGATCATAGTGCACATGTACTGGATAGGGTACCTTCTTTTCAACGGGATACGGTTGTGGCACTTCATAGGGTACTTTAATGATTTCCTTAACCTCGTAGGGCACATGCTTTACAACCGGATATGGTTTGGGTATTTTGACCTCATAGGGCACGTGGACCTCTTTCTCCACCGGTACATGTACATATTTCTCTACGGGATAAGGTACGGGTATCTTTTTTACCACTGTTATGGTTTTTTCATGATGCACTGGATAGTGATGATAATGATGGGCATCATATTTATGATGATAATCACCAAAGTGCAGACCACGTTTTGGCTTGGCAGAATCTTCAGATTCTTCTTTGCCATCAGCGGATTTTTCAGCTTCTTTTTTCTCTTCTTCAGGTTCGACTTTTTTCTCTTCAGCTCCTGCTGGTTTCTTTTCATCTTCGGCGCGCGTGCTGGTGGTTACTACGAGGAGGACCACCGCAAGCAGAAATGCGGTTCGCTGAGGGGAAGAGGGGTGGGAGAGAGAGAGAGAGAAAATAAGTATGTGTTTTATATGATTTCTGGGGTATGATAATAAAAAGCAAATTTTAGGAAATCTTTAGTAAAAGCAAAGTCAAGACTATATCAGTCTATAGACCAGACTATGGATCAGTCTATAGTCATGACTATGGATCAGTCTATAGTCAAGGCTATAGATCAGTCTATAGTCAAGACTATAGATTAGTCTATAGTCAAGACTATAGATCAGTCTATAGTCAAGACTATAGATCAGTCTATAGTCAAGGCTATAGATCAGTCTATAGTCAAGGCTATAGATCAGTCTATAGTCCAGACCATATATTAGTCTATATTCAAGATCAGTCTATAGTCAAGGCTATAGATTCGTCTGTAGTCAGGACCATAGATAAGTCTATATTCAAGACTATAGATCAGTCTATAGCCAAAGCTATCTATAGTCAAGACTATAGATCAGTCTATAGTCAAGACTAGAGATCAGTCTATAGTCAAGGCTATAGATCAGTCTATAGTCAAGACTAGAGATCAGTCTATAGTCAAGACTATAGCTCAGTCCACAGTCAAGACTATAGATCAGTCTATATTCAAGACTATAGATCAGTCTATAGTCAAGACTATAGATCAGTCTATAGTCAAGGCTATAGATCAGTCTATAGTCAAGGCTATAGATCAGTCTATAGTCAAGACTGTGGAGCAATTCATAGTCAAGACTACAGATAAGTCTATAGTCAAGACTATAGATCAGTCTATAGACCATTCTATAGTCAAGACTGTACATCAGTCTATAGTCAAGACTATAGATCAGTCTATAGTCAAGACTATAGATCAGTCTATAGTCAAGTCTATAGATCAGTCTATAGTCAAGACTACAGACTTTACTCAAAGCTATTGATCATAGATCAATACTTAATCAAGATCACTTAATAGTCAGGACTATAGATACGTTTCTATTCAAGCCTATTGTTCATTGTATAGCCAAGACTGTAGTCAAGATCAGTCAAGATCAATCAAGATCACTCTCTCATTTAAAGTGGGGCCACTGAAAGTAGGTCAAACATTTGTTTAAATCTCTTAAATTTCGTTTTGATTTTATATTTAGAATAAATATAAAAGAAATTATAAATTGACCTTGAAATTTGTTGACTTTGTTTGATCAAATAGTGTGTGATCTTTTTCATTATACTTTTGTTTGTTTTATTTTCTTTAAGCCAAGAATAAATGAATAATAAATTGACCTTGAAATATTGAACCTATTTTTGTTGATTTTTTTTTTGTTATAGTAAACCATTGTTACACTTTATTGACAGTGAATAACCGGCTCTTTTTTTTTTTCTTGCTTGTCATGGTAGATATTTTGATTGGGGAGTAGAGATCAATCTTTAGTGGAAGACGACTTGTTTTTTGAAGTAGTAAAGGACTTTTAGTCCTTTAAACTGCAGATCTTAGTTAAACTATGACTTTTGTTAATTTTTGCAATCTTTAGCTTAAGCAGATTTCTGTTTTCAATTTGACACACTTTTCTTTTAAAAAGGATCCTTTGTACATCCTTTTCAGCAAAAGTTTTTAGATATTTTTCTTAATTTTTATTTATGTTGTTTTTCAAATTTAGGGATTTGCTTAAGTTTTTTCACTTTTTTACACTTTTAAAGTCCTTAAGGACTTTACTCACCATCAACTGCATGGCGTTGATTTTAAGTTTTTTTACTTTTTCGTTAAAAAGAACTGATTTAAATTTATAATCCAAGGGTTTTTTGTTGAAAATTAAGGTAATCCACAATATCCAGGCTAAAGGCACCAAAACACACATGAAAATATAGAGAAAAAACAAAAGACTTAGAAAACGAACTTTTTTTTTTGTGGGCGAGAAAAACACTTTTCTTTATGAAGACTTTTTTAAAACTTTTCTTTAATTACTTTTTACGTCCGAGCCGCACGCAAACTGTAAGGAACGCACACGTAGTGTGTAGGAAAATTTAAAGAAACTTTACTTAGCTATGCTGTGTATAGCTGCACAATAAACAATTTAATGATAACAACTCAACGCCGAGCATTTACTTTTATACCATCGACATCTATTGATTGATCGTACGTAGTACTAGGCTAAAGAAACAGAAAAATCGAAAAACTCCAAAAAAAAACTCTAAACCATAAAATGTAAGACGAAAGTTAAACCGCTCAAGTTGCTTTCAAATAAAAACAAAACATAAGCGGACAGACAGACAGTTAGACCGACCGAAATCAACACTCAAACTTACAAATGTGTTGAAAACGAATTTTTTTTTGCATTTTGTGTAAAACACAACATTTTCCAGTAAAAATTTGAGAGTCTACAAATTAGTATTACGAACGAAACATTACTCTTATCCAACAGCTCAGCACCTTGGCTCCTCTCAAGCATATGCCTGTGTTTAATATTGTTTGTTATGGGGGGCCCCCCTGTTCATATACATATGTACATTCTCTTTCAATGGGCCTTTTGCTTGGTTTTGAATTTTACTTGATTTGAATTTTATACTTCCGTTGGTCGTCGTTTGGTTTCTTTTCGTTTTTTCATGATTATTATAAAACAGTTTTTTTGTTCGTTCGTTCGTTTGTTCGTTCGTTTGCCTTTTACTATTTTATTGGATCAGTTGTGGGGTATAGTTTTTCTTTTCCTTGGGTTTCTTTAGTTACCTTATATTGTTTGTTTATCTAAGAGCAGCCCAAACAAAACAAACAAACAAATTAGTTACATATTTCTAAGTTCTTGTAAATTTAAGCTCTACATCAGCTCTATGTTAGTGTAACTTGATCAGTGTTTACTATATCGTCATCATTACTTACGATTACAACATCTTTATTCAGTGTGTACTAGTGACTGGTTTTATATTTAGCAAGAGGCTTTTCGACAATGACTTTTGCATTTTCATTTCCTCGATGTTGTGGTAGTCTGTTTTTTTTTGCATAATGCTCTGCAATAACTGCAAAAAAACGTTAATTTTCTAGGAAAATTTTTCACAAATTGTTGGCTTCATAATTTCTAACTAAGACATCATAATTATTGAAATAATTGCAACAAAGTTGCTTTTTTTGTAATTTTCTTTTTAATTGTGATTCATTGAAGATTGACTAATTGAAAAAAAAAACTAGTTGCAATAATAACAGACAATAGAATTTGATGAAAATTGAAAATTTTAGTGAAAATTCTAAATCTTAGTAAATATTCGAAATAGCTGTGAAAATTCAATATTTTAATGAAAATTTGAAATTTCAATAAAAATTCGAAATTTTAGTGAAAATTCGAAATTTTAGTGAATTTGATAAAAATTCAAAATTTTTGTAAAAATTCAAAATTTTTGTAAAAATTCAAAATTTTTGTAAAAATTCAAAATTTTTGTAAAAATTCAAAATTTTCTAGAAAATTCAAAATTTTAGTGAAAATTCAAAATTTTAGAGGAATTTTGAAATTTTAGTAAATATTTGAAATAGTAGTGAAAATTCATCATTTGAATGAAAATTTAGAAATTTTAATAAAAATTCGAAATTTTAGTGAAAATTCGAAATTTCTGTGAAAATTCGAAATTTCAATAAAAAATACCAAATTTTAGTTAAATTTCAAATTTCAGTAAAAATTAGATATGTTTATAGACGAGTCTATAGACATGTTCATAGACGAGTCTGCAGTCCGTAGACTAGTTTATATATGAGTCTAAAGACAAGTTTATAGACGATTCTATATGCGAGTCTATAGACAAGTTTATAGTCTGTAGACAACTTTATATAAGTATTCGAGTCTATAGAAAAGTTATAGACGATTATCTAGAAAAGTTTATAGACGAGTCTATAGACAAGTTTATAGACAAGTTTATAGACAAGTCTATAGACAAGCTTATAGACGAGTCTGTACACAAGTTTATAGACTAGTCTATAGACAAGTTTATAGACGAGTCTATAGACAAGTTTATAGACGAGTCTATAGTCAAGTTTATAGACGAGTCTGTAGTCAAGTTTATAGACAAGTTTATTGACGAGTCTATAGACTAGTCTATAGACAATTTTAAAGACGAGTCTATAGACAAGTTAATACACGAGTCTATAGGCAAGTTTGTAAACTAGTCTATAGACAAGTTTATAATGATTTTGTAGACAAGTTTATGGACGAGATGATAACTATATAGACGATTCCATACACAAGTTATGGACAAGTTTATAGACGAGGCTGTAGTCTGTAGACACGTTTATATATGTGTCTATAGATAATTTTATATATATATTAGTTTATAGACTATTCCTTAGACAAGTTTATAGATGAGTTCATAGATAAGATTATCGACGAGTCTGTAGACAAGTTTATAGACGAGCCTATAGACAAGTTTATAGGCTAGTCTATAGAAAAGTTTATAGACGAGTCTATAGACAAGTTTATGGACTAGTCTATTGACAAGTTTATAAACGAGTTTATATACAAGTTTATTGACGAGTCTTTATATAGTATACTTATAGATGAAAAGTTTATAGACGAGTCTATAGACAAGTTTATAGACGAGTCTGTAGTCTGTATACAAGTTTTTGTATGAGTCTATAGACAAGTTTATATAGATAAGTTTATAGACGAGTCCATAGACAAGTTTATCGAGGAGTCATAGACAAGTTTATAGACTAGTCTAAAGAAAAGTTTATAGATGAGTCTATAGACAAGTTTATAGACAATTCTATAGACAAGTTTATGGACGAGTCTATAGACTAGTTTGTAGACGAGTCTATAGACTAGTTTGTAGACGAGTCTATAGAAAAGTTTATAGACGAGTCTATAGACAAGTTTATGGACTAGTCTATAGACAAGTTTATAAACGAGTCTATATACAAGTTTATAGACGAGTCTATATACAAGTTTATAGACGAGTCCGTAGTCTGTAGACAAGTTTTTATATGAGTCTATAGACAAGTTTATATAGATGAGTTTATAGACGAGTCCATAGACAAGTTAATCGACGAGTCATAGACAAATTTATGGACGAGTTTATACATAGTATGTTTATATATGAGTCCATAGACAAGTTTATAAACGAGTCTATAGAAAAGTTTATAGACGAGTCTATAGACAAGTTTATAGACGAGCCCATAGACAAGTTTATCGACGAGTAATAGACAAGTTTATAGACGATTCTATAGACAAGTTTATGGACGAGTCTATAAACAAGTTTATAGACGAGTCTGTAGACTAGTTTATAGACTAGTCTATAGGCTAGTTTATAGACGAGTCTATAGGCTAGTTTATAGGCGAGTCTATAGGCTACTTTATAGGCGAGTCTATAGACAAGTATATAGACAAGTTTATAGACGAGTCTACAGACTAGTTTGTAGACGAGTCTATAGACTAGTTTGTAGACGATTCTACAGGCAAGTTTATAGACGAATCTATAGAAAAGTTTATAGACAAGTTAATAGGCGAGTCAATAGACATGTTTATAGACGAAACTATAGACAGGTTTGTAAACGATTCTATAGACAAGTTTATGAACTAGTCTATAGACAAGTTTATAAATGATTCTATAGACAATTTTATGGACAAGTCTATAGAGACTATAGTTTATAGACTAGTCTATAGACAAGTTTATAGACATGTTTATAGACGTGTCTGTAGACATATTTATAGACGAGTCTACAGACAAGTTCATAGAGGAGTCTATAGACAAGTTTATAGACTGGTCTGTAGTTTATGGATGAGTCTATAGACATGTTTATAAACGAGAGATACAAGTTTGTAAACGATTCTATAGACAAGTTTATGAACTAGTCTATAGACAAGTTTATAAATGATTCTATAGACAATTTTATGGACGAGTCTATAGAGTCTATAGTTTATAGACTAGTCTATAGACAAGTTTATAGACATGTTTATAGACGTGTCGTAGACATATTTATAGACGAGTCTACAGACAAGTTTATAGCGAGTCTATGGACATGTTTATGGACGAGTCTATAGACAAGTTTATAGACGAGTCTATAGACAAGTTTATAGACGAGTCTTATAGAGTCAATGGAAAAGTTTAATGAGTCTATAGACAATTCTGTAGTCGAAACTAAAGGTAATTCTATAGTTTAATCTAAAAGCGAATCTCAACCTTAAACTTTAGACGAGACTATGGTCCAAAGAGACTTTATACGACGAGACTTTATACTCGACAATGCTATTGAATGACTTATTACCGTGAAAAAGTCGAACTATTGTAAAGCTAAAGTCATAAATGCATATTTTCAAAAAATTATTTTTATACCTTTTATGTTAAACATTCTTTAACTACAACTTGTTGACATGACATTTTCAACTTAAAATAAAAATATATGTTAATTTGTTTTTATTAGTTGTTAACTTGCAAGAAGTTTTTTTTTTATTTGTTTATTTATTTTATTTTTATATATATTTTTTTTTAGTTTTAATCTTTATTTTTATAGACAAATTACAACATCTACTGGCTTTTTTTTTTATTATTTCATTCATTCAATAAAATACTAAATAAAATAAGTATGTTAATTTGAAACATTTATAAGAAGACAGGCATTGTTCAGTTTTCTATAATTTATGTGATTTGATTTAATTTTTATATAAAATAATAAAATAAATAATATTAACTAAATATCAATACATATAAAAAAAATTTGTTTGCATTTAAATATATCTTTTCATTGAAATTTTAAAAT